CAAGAAAATTTCTGCACCTGCTTCGCTCCAGTGCCGTTCTGACTGCACTCCCGCTCACTCCAGCTGCGCACTTCACTACAGTTACAAATAGTTTTCATCTTACACAACTGCGACTGATTATAAATACGACAAAGAAATATCGACTGCGATGAATAGTCAACGATAAGCTTTCCTCTGACTAATGGATCTACCATCGTTTACAGAACATGAAGGAAAAAATGAAGCTATTGGCGGAGCGCTAAAAGAAAGAGCCGCTCCGACTCCGCTCCAGCTCCATGGTTTTTACGAAGCGCTCCGCTCCGACTTCATGACTCTCATAAAACGCTCACTCCAGCTTCGATGATTTTCATCAACCGCTCCGCTCTGAGCGCTTCATTTTTTCCTTCGTGTTCTGTAAACGATGGTAGATCCATTAGTCAGAGGAAAGCTTATCGTTGACTATTCATCGCAGTCGATATTTCTTTGTCGTATTTATAATCAGTCGCAGTTGTGTACCTTTCACATCCGCTCCTGTGAAACGTGTGTTTTCTTCCGGTGGGATGTTCGGGCGATCCCATGTCAGCCAACTCTCTGATACCATAATCGCTATGTTGACTCTACTCAAATGTAATCGACACTTCCCCTACTTCCACTAGTCTTATTTCATGCTGCAGATCAAACTGTGATCTAAAACTATTGTACATAAAAATTTTCTTGTTGATATTCCGTATATGCTGTGAAAGAGAATATGAATCCCGTAGATCATTGCAAAGCCACTTCAAAGAAATGCGAAAAATGTGCTTTTCCAATAAGGTGAAAACTATTTGTAGCCCTGAAAACTACTTGTAACCTTCAACCTATAGAATAACTATTTGTATAAAGAAAATTTAAGGCGCTGTTTATTCTAGCCGCAAATGGGCTGCGCTGGCAAAATTTTATAATAGAATCAAGGTAAGAAGTAAAATATCTTAGTTTTCTCCATCAATAATACCGTTAAACGTTCTGATGGAAAGACTACTTGGTATTGTAATAAGAAAAGAGTTGGCACTAGCTTGGTAGTTGCTCTAAATTAATCTCGTCAGCTGTTTTTATCGTTTTTTCTGTACGAAGTTGAAAAACATGTGTTTTCAGATCATTCTCTTTATTGAATTTTCTTTTTCTTGTTTGTTCGATTAGTTCTAAACGTGTTATCAGTACAATGTACGCTAATATACACTTTTCTGTCGTTTTTATTTTACCGAATAAATAGAATAACGGTACTGAACAGCAGTATCATCAAAAGGTATATGAGATTAATAGAAGGGATTTGTGGAATTATGGCAATGATAAGCGTAAGAACTCTACCTCTCTTCAGAGCAGTTGGTAATGTAGCGGCAGTGAGCGGCCTCAGTATTTTCAAAGTCTAATAATACATTCTCATCAAAGCGTATTAGCAAGAAGAAGAGATCGGTCACAGATAATTGTACTGATATTTTAAATTAATATTTAATTATTATTTATTTATTATTTAATAAATGTAGGAAACTTTTTTCAAGCAATCCCTTTAGTACGCCTTTATTCGCAGGACAGTTATGACAAGTTATTGGTGTCTCTGTTGTTTTCTAGATGAAAGACCATGATTATTCAAATTATTCATCAAGTCCGTACGAAATGACGAAGCAAAATAGTTACTCACCAAACAGACAAAATTATTCACGTAAGTAGCTACACTGTCGCTTTTTCCATCACAATCTTGCTCAAAAATTCTCCTATGACTGGAACAAGTAGCCATCTTTCAGTACTGTTGATGCAGTCAGACAGTGCCTGTTTTGCAGTATCCTAACAAAAAAAAGTCTCAAGTCGTGCCAGTATTTTCTCTAGCAGTGAACTGAAATTTGGGATATTATTGAGAGTTCTTTTTTATAATGTTTGTTTTTCCAGTAATCGGCTCTAATTTCGTCTAAGCAGTGATTATCCGAAAAAGTAGGCGTTGTTTTAGACGTAGTTCAGCTAGTATCAGTTAGTTTAAATTCAGATTAATCTACTGTGCGACCTTAATATGATTGATTGAAATCAGAAAAGCATCAATCTTACATTCTAACAGAATTTGAACGAGCCATGTATAGAAGACGAATTGAATTCTGTAAGTAGATCAGTTTACTGTATTAAGTTTTCTTTTTTCGAAAAATTCGTCCTATTGAGCGTCTGAACTATGGTATTTAGAATTTCTCTATTTAGATACAGTGAGGAAAACTAGGGCCAATCATTTACCTAGAAAATTGAAAAGAGAAAAAGTTAAATTCATGCACATTCATTTATGAGTGTACACATTTTACAACGCTATTCTTTCATCTCAGACACTCGAAGAATATGTGCCACATCGCATCGACTGCTGATTGGCCGTGTTTAAAAAATGTAACGATTTTATTCTGTTCTTTACTTCATCGTTTTCTTTTGTTTGTTATAATTTTCTGAAAATGTATATATATTCAAATTTAATTCATCATACTCTCTTTTTCTTCATTTGCTTCTTCTGTTCCCTTTTACCTTTGTTTTCTACATGCTGAAGACAATATAACATAATTTTAAGTGAATTTCAAGTATTTTAATCAGGTGAGAAAAGTGAAACTACCTACTTTAGAAGAACAGTTCTAAGAGTATTCGAGGAAAAAAACAGGAAGCAACGCAAACATGCATGCCATCTATACACCTTTATATATACATATAATTTTTGTTATTTTTTATCGTTAAATAAACGAAGATAGCAAACTTAAATGAAAAAAAAAAGTCATTGTCTCATACTGAAAGAACAAGTGGGGAAAAAGTGGACTTTCTTTATTTTTAATTTGAAAAATCAACCGGTAGATTTGTATAAGGTATATTAAATTTTTATCATAAAGTTGCACTTCTATCTTAACGTAGATTACGTATAATAAATACTTAGGTAATTCGATGATTTAGTTTTTTGTGAAGTTTTTTTGAACGGTAGGTAACAGAGTGTTAGTATTCTGTCTGCTATTGAATCGTAGGGGAAAGAACGAGTTTAACTACATTTTGCGAGAGTGAAGCAATCACTCAAGCAATGTCCGTCATCTGAAATTGAGTTTTAATTAGAATATACCATTGCGTTCAAAAAAAGTGACCTATCTGCTACTATGCTTGAGAGTGATCAATCGAAAGAAATGTGTTAATATTCTCACATAGATAAGAATTGTGAGCACGACAATGACGTTTTTCTCTTCTCTGTAATACGTGTTGTGTATGTCAAGAAAAAGGCAAGAAAGTTTTATTTTTAGACAAAAACTTGACTTTGGTTCTAACCATCACAATTTCCTTCTTTCATATCGTTCTCAATATTCCATTTCACAAAATCATTATTCGTCGTTAAGTAATTATTGTTTGTCAAACTATTATCAATTAACACGAGAGCAATATTCGAATAATTATTATACGGCTATGCAGGCAATGCAACCAAATGCAAAAGATACAACTTATCAGAAAATATTTGTTGGTGGTATGTAATCGACAATTTTGCGTTGAGAAAAAGAGCTTGATGATTAAGATTCCTGCTTTAGGACTTCCTTATCATACGACAGATGAAACATTGAGAAAGTATTTTGAAAAATATGGTGATATAGAGGAAGCTGTTGTTATTCTGGATCGATCAACAGGAAAAAGCAGAGGATATGGTTTTGTAAGTATTCATCGTCTTTTGTCAAATGAAAGATAGCATTTTTTGTCAAAACAGTTGGATAAAGTTATCTGTTTATATCCTTTTTTATTAAATAGGTAACAATGGTTACAAGAGAGTCAGCACAAGAAGCTACAAAAGATCCAAATCCAACAATTGATGGACGACGTGCTAATGTAAATTTAGCGTATATCGGTGCAAAAAATCGACTAAGTAGTCCAGCTTCAAGTGTGTTTTAAAACAAACGTGATTATCTTTGAAACAATAATCTTTATGTATTTCTGATTCTTTAGATTTGTTTGCATATACTTCAGCCGTGCGCGCGTTACCATCGAATTATCAAACAACTTATGGAACGTACGTATGCTAATTAAGATAGTCTATCCCAGAATATAAACTCAAGAACTATCAATGTTCTTTGACCTATAGATTCGGTGCTTGTACAATAACGCATGTTTTTCTTCAAGAGAAGAAAAAAAAATCAATATTTCTGAAGGAAAAAACGAATGAAATATGTAAATTTTTTTACTATGTCTTTTCTTTTTATCAAGTGCAATTGACTACGCATATCTACCAATGCTGGTGTGAGAAGCCTATTGACTGATAGATACACTTGAGTAGGCTGATTATTTCAATATTTTTATAGTTGTTTTCAAACAGACTTAACAAGACTTCTCATTAAAAACAACAACTTTTTACTGGTTGTTAGAATAATGTCGCTCTACACATTGTACAGAGGCACCGTCGATGTTTAAGTCAGAGACCATCGCAGGACAGGGCTGCCCTATTGTCCTGCCGCCCTGCCAGGCAGGGCGACCTATCTTTTTTGCCTTGCCCTGTTGCAGGACAGGCCAACAAAAAAATTACTTGATTTGCCCTGCAAGAGATTGATTTTTGAGACTTTCAAGCTTCTTTTTAAGTAAAATTTTGAGATCTCTCGTATATGTGAAAATAAAAATGACAGCCAGGTTTTCTAAAATTGATAATTAATAAAAAAAAACATTCTGTTACGCACGAGAAACGCATTCAGTATTTGTGATGAGTTTCTTGAAGATAAAGTCTACTAGGTTAAGGAGAAAAACTTTCTTTTGCACTGCAAGACATCCTGCCCCGCCCTGTCTGGCTCGGCAGGGCAAACAAATTTTATGAGTAATTTGCTGACAAGGCAGGGAGGAAAAAGATTACCGTGTGATGGTCTCTGGTTAAAGTCCAGAACTTAATAGATCTTAGATGTCATTTCAACAGTACCATCGTATAGGAGAGTATGAGTATACAATTTTTAGAAGAGTATGAATTTTCATCTAAAATGTGCTATACCTTTGCGGTATGGCATTCATTTACACCTTCAAGTATACACTAAGATCAAACTACACAAACAATTGAAAATTTTCAAGTTAGAAAAAACATTAAACTATTCAAAAGCTTTCTTCATAGAGAAGTTACTTGATGTTAGCATTACTTAAGTTAATAGCACTTTTTCCTTCAGGCTTTGTTTTAAAATAAAAATTTGCTTCTGTCGTTTTTGTTTTGAACAAAGAAATATGTGCTTAGAGGAAAAGACTAGATAAACATTCGTAAAATAATTATGCACTTTCTTTTTATGTCTCATTTTTGAAATTACGATGTTACTATATTATAGTCAAAAAAGAAACTGTAACATATCATCTAGATCAAACAGATATCTGCTCGATTTACTTTTCATGATGAATTATTTCGACTATTTTCTCACACCTATATAGACATTGGTAATTAGAAAAATTGAAGAAATTCGAAATCCTCTTAATTCTATTTGTTAGCAGCAAAAAAATGTCTAATTATTCTCATAGCTTATCCTTGCCTTTTCTTTCTTAATCTCAGTTGTTTCCAATTGATAACATTGCTTGGCTAAACATACGAAAGACAAGCAGATTACTAAAAGTATTTTGTGTGTATCTATGTGTGACATTTGAGTTTGAAGTGTGATTTGTGTGGGTTTGTTTGTTGAGGACATAAAAATGATCATACCTGATAAATTTTCTACGATGAGCTGATAAAAAAGTCGGTCTAATTTGTACCACCAACCCGTAGTTTTAAATAACTTCTGCTTAAACTAAATAAAAATTCAAACCACCATTCCTTGCTTGAATCAACTTCAGCCACAAATGTATAAAAAACCAGTTAAGCTATAATACAAGCACTGATTATGGAATTTTGAACTTTTTGATCGTGTTGTTGTGGAGTGGCGTGGCGTGTTTTTTTGTTGTAATTCGTAGTTACAAACCATTTTGGCTTAATTATTTGAACTTCCAAAAATTAGAATAATTGGCTTCGTACTTTTCTGCTAGAAATCTTCTAAATTACCGTTTGATTTGTATTCGTGTGTTTATAAGTAATTAACTGTCCATGAGATAATTATATCACTCGAACGAAAGTTTAAGCGCGTACAAAGAAAGAATAAACCAGTTCGAACGTATTCAAGAAATTTTAACAGATGTTAAGTTTGTTATTTTTTAACGAACATGTTTGAAGCCGTCAGATATTTAGTCTTCCATTTTCTCCACTTTATTTTATTTTCAATTAGTTATCTGGCTTGATTTTGACGCCCATTCAGTGATGTCCACTTAGTATTGTGTCTCACTGTCCGACCAGCTACTTCCTATAGGAAGGAAAAAATGGTTAGAAAACGCTTTTTTCAAAATTAAAATATGAAGTTCCACGTGAAGCACGAGACGTTGAAGATGTCTACAAATGAGTACATCATATTTGTAGAAAACGTTTTAACGAGTTGAAAGACGTTTGAAAAGAAATTTTAGAAAATAATGGGCTCGAACGCGCTGATTTTATATCTGTTTTCCCATCACGGTGGAAAAGGTAATAAATTTGTTATTAGCGCGTTAGAATCTAATATTTTACATTCCAAACGCATTGGAGCTTTTGTTCGGATAGTAAAATTATCTCATGGGTATGAACTATTGTGTGAAATTTTCCAATAACTGTGTACACTCTGTACCGGTCAAATGTATTATCCAATGGGGGTAGGAACAACTCACTACGTTATATTTTTAAAATACAGCCTTAGCACATGCTATCATATTAAACTCGAAGTGAAGAGAGAGACAGGAACCTGCCTTTATTAGAAAAACCTAGTCTCTGGCAATGTGTACATTTTTATGAGTAATAATATAAGTAACACAAGATCATTTTAGGGCTGATGTTACTTAGTTTCTCGCTATCTACGCATGACAGAACTAGAGTAACGGTGTAACCATAAAAAGTTACCCAGTAGACTTTAAGAGCTATGTTCAAAGCTGACGGCTTCCAACCTGGATAAATTAATTAGCTAGGAAATGTGCGGCACAGGTGTGTAGGATTGTTGCGTCCTGGCCAATAAAAAGTTTGGTACACTAATCCCGCTTTGTGAACCTTACGTCCTTGGCCTGCTTTTCCGTTACCGTTTAAAATTTTGCGTTAAACGGTCAGAGTCACTGCACATTTTCTAATTTGCGCGTGTGAATGAGAATAATTTAGTTCTTCGGTTTGGCGAATGAAATGAATTTGTCTCAAAGCTCGTGTTATGTCAAACTTTTTGTGAGTGTATAATTGTTGTATTGAATTTGAAACTGTAACAAACGATTTTCTATTGATTGATACACGGTGTTCTTCCTTGCTCTGGTTGAATACTTACAATTTTTTATGACAGATTTTCAAGATGAATAATATTTTTGTTGTTGTTTTATACGTAGAACACCGTTCGTCTATTATCCTGTGTCATCATCAAATCAACTTTATTTAACACCAGCAGCAACACAAAATAATTGGCAAAATTTGTTATTAACAAATAATTTTACAAATCTAAATAATCTTGCAACACAGTCATTGCCAAATGTTGCATCTGGTCAATACGGATCGTCAACGTTACCATTGAATGGTACTAGTACATTATCAGCATTAAATTCTGTTGGACAATCAACAACTCCACAAAATTTATATGATGTGACAACGTTATTGCCTAGCACAGGTCAAACAACACTATTTGAAACTGTACCATCAACTTCATCAGCAACAGCACAAAATGGAGCCTCTATTGCATGTTTACCCACAACATACTGGCCAACATTTCCATCACATTTACAAAATTAAACGTTTGCCGTATTTCTTTTTTCGATCATCTAAACAAACTATCAATCAATTATTTTCGTTTTTTATCCATCTTCGACTTATGTATACTGTAATTTTCTTTATCTTTCAACTTTGTTCTACAACAAGGCAAATTGTTTGTTATTGTTGTTCAATTTCTCTTTAAAAATTTTTTTTATCGTATTTGCCTAATTCAAACTAAATTATTTTCTGTTTTTTTATATCTATCTACTACAGTATCCAATGGAGTTTTCTTTCCTGTTTTAAAACAGATAAAAAGATTTTATTTGTTGTTTAAAGAAAAAACGGTTCGTTTTTACTGCTAAAAAATGTATAATGAATGCATTTTATTCTGTACTTTTCCTATTGACGATACAAGAAAAAGATTTTCTCGTTGTTTCTTTTTATTTTTCATTTGTTGATGTTGTTTTTTACTGTTCTCTTTTATACTCGACAACGTAAAAATGATATAGATATTCGTTTGATGTCTACATAAAACAGCATCAATTAAAAGGGAGCAAACTATTTTTGTCTATATTCTGTCTACTTCTGACATTGTACTGAACTTCCACATTGTATTGTCAGTATTAGAAGATAATTAAAATAGTTTTTAATAAGCATAGATTATCCACTTATTATTTCAACAGAAAATAAATGTCAGCTTTTCTGAGAAAAACAATGAGCATTTTTTTCGATACAATTAACCTCTGAAACATGTTCATAACTACAATGTTTCAGAACGCACTAAAAAATTATCAGTTCATGAAAACTGAATATTTTCTAATTGAAAATACGTTAAACAGAGCGATGCAATCTTTTGTCAATGAATAATCTTTCACTATTTTCCTTGATATCTTTTATTAGTAAACGGTACATATGCTAAAGAAATAGATCTAAATACATTAATTTAATGGAAAAGAAGATAGAAAGTTTGCGTTCTTTTAAAATTAGTTGATATCGAGTAATGTAATTTTTTTTAATTTAAAATATTAACTGATGTAAATTTAGCAACTGTAGTCCTTTTGATCGTTATATTGTTTTCAACATCGAATCTGTTATTAATAAACGTAATAGTTCGCAATAGTGGTCTAAAAAATGAGTGCATATTTCTATGTGTATGTCTAAGTAAGGTAGGCTGTTGAACATTCTTTTTAAAATGAAACAATCAAATATAATGATAAAACATGATTATTGACGATAAATGGAAACTTTAAAATTTAACATTTTCGCTTGTAAATGTGTCCATTTATGTTGATATTTTCTTGGTATTGAATTCCTCGTTTGCTTTTGTTAAATTCTGCATAACGACGAACACTACAAGATTATTAAGATTATTTTTAAAGCGTCAAGTGACAAGATTTGAAATTCACAAAATGAGACGCTGGTCCAATGGAGGAAAATTTATCTGACTCACGAGGAAATCAATCCAACTGTTCGATCGCTTTTTTCACGAAACCTAGTGGACAATAGGTAATCGAGTGTGCTGAATCCGAATATCATAGCGGTTTTGGCGTCTAGGTCTCCGGAAATCCGTTTTCTGTAAAACCAGTTTTTCAGGAACTCTAAAAGATAACCAAAACTTTTCTTGACGACGCATAATTGTAGCCCGCACATTTCTGACTAAAATGAGATATCTCCCAACTCTACACGACCTTTCTTTGTAAAATTATAGAATTTACAAGAAAAGCCCTAAATTAATCTTCTCCTTCTTATTTCTATACACTCTAAAAAAAAGGTATTTCAAAAAACCTTAAAAGGTATTCTCCATTTGAGAAAAACCAAAAAAGGTATAACCACCCGTGAAAAACGTTTAAAGGATTTAACCATTTCAAATATATCATAACTGTTTAAAAGTTTCTTATTCTTATCAGAAAACTAATTTTCATTTTCCAAAATACGGCTAAATTACGTTCTGAAAAACGGTTGAGGTTTCTTCATGTCACAAAAAAACCTTTCAGGTATTTTAAAATACCAAATCAATTCAGGGTTTTTTAAATCATGGCTTTTTCATATTCTAAAAATCCCTAAGGGGTTTTCTGATAAAAGTAAAAAACGTTTAAATAGTTATGATATGGTTCATATGGTTATACCATTTTCCGTATTTTAAAATACCTTTTTTTTTAGAGAGTAGCTTTGAGCTGACAATGAACATTTAGGGCACTTTTTATAAATTCTATAACTTTGCAAAGAAAGATCGTGTAGAGTTGGGAGATGTCTCATTTTAATCAGAAATGTACGGGCTACAATTATGCCTCGTTAAGAAAGGCTTTGGTTATCTTTTAGAGTTTCTGAAAAACTGGTTTTCCAGAAAGCCGGTCTCTGGAGGCCTAGACTCCAAAACCGCTATGATATTCGGATTCAGCACACTTGATTAGCTATTGTCCACTAGGTTTCGTGAAAAAAGCGATCGGACAGTTGGAGTGGTTTCGTCGTCAGTTCTTTGTATAATATTAATATTAGGCTGCATAATCAATTCTAAATGTGCTTAAATAAAGTACAAATTTGCTATTATTAGATTAGAAAGAGTATAATCTTCGTCAAATATCTTTTTCTAACATTATCGTGGAGAATCCGTTTTCTACAACAACACAAAATTTTTTGTAATAAAACTATTGGCTCAATCTAAAAAATATAAGTCTTCTTTTTTCTAAGGTGCACGTAAAGCAAAGTTACAGCAAAAATTTTACTTTTCGATGTCTTATATATCATTCGATAGAGAATTTCACGGCGAGCAAGAATATGTGCTCCTTGATTTTTTTAAAGGCTTCCTTCCGTTTGAAAAATCGAAAAACCTCGATGGGTGTGAAAAACCCGATTTTCGCCTTGTTTTTATAAATTTGAGTTTTCCAAGTTTCGTACCAACTTGGACTGTTCAAACTGCCATATTCTTGTTCAGCTTTGAAAACTGAATCAGAAAATGGTGTGAAAGCCGTTTCGGACCTAAACGTCTGTGGGCCAAGATCGTCGAAAGCAAACCGACCAAAACCCCTCTACCTATTCTTGCAAACTTTTCACAAGTTTTTCTTGAGATGTTAGAGCCAATATTTTCACATGGGTCGACGCGTTAGATGCTTCTCTTCAAAAGTATACGTGCAGTTTTTTGAAATTTTTTGCCTTCGACGAGAAAAGTCAATTTTACTAAGCACTGTGCCCAAAACGCCAAATCCTTTTCCGGTTTTTTGCAAGTTT